GGGGCCGGCGCCTGACAGAGCAGCCACCCGGCACCGGCCCCATCGCCCGCAGGCCTCACGATTCACTTCTGCCTCTTGGGCAGGGGGTCATCACCCTGTCCCCCACCCCAGGTCTGTGGCTGGTTGCTTTTGGTGAAGGAAAGATGAGGACAACGAGAAGTAGCAGCCTCTGGTCATTCATCAGAGAGGTGGCAGTGGTTACAAAACCCCATGATGGAGGCAGAAGAAAGAAGCTGGTTGCTCCAGCTCTTCACACAGCATAGCCTTTTTTCTCTTCCCAATCACAGCTCCAGGATGCCTTTATGCAGTTATCCTCACATGTCCACCACTCTGCAAGCTGGTGAACAGGTTTTGCCTTGTCTATCCCCAGCACTTTGTTTGTTTAGGGGAGTTTGAAACTAGCAGTCTATTAGTAATCTGAAGATAACATATCCCCAGTTGACTGGCTTACATTTTGGGTCAGAGTACTTCCATTGTTCATTTGTTCTGAACTACAGAGAGAAATATTTTCTTCCCTTCCAGTCACTTCAGTGAGGCCAGCAGATTTATCAAGGATCTTGTGTTTTACTGGCAACGTTCCCAAGAAGCACTCCCCTCCCCGGAGGCTCTGCAGGGTGTCCCATGCAGGCTGGGGGCGCTCCTCCCTCCCCGTGCAGTGCTGACCATCCCAGCACAACTGCCGCTGTGGGGGGAAACCCCAGACAACGCCCAGTAGAAACAGGCATGTCTCTTGGATCAGCATGGAGCTTCAGCCTGCTACTGGCTGGAAAGTACAGCTTGAGAGATGAGACAGGAGCTCACCGCAACCTGCAGAGCTGCTGCTGTGGGCAAGACTGGCCCCAGCACAGACATGCTTCCAGCAACTGCCTCTGCAGCCCCACAGCGTCACCGTGACAGAGCTCCAGGATGTGTAATTACTGAGAAAACAGGTCAATCTTTGGGATTAAAGCCTCTTGCAACATGTTTGGTGATTATGCAGGAGAGGAGAGCGAGACCCAGGCTGTCTCCCCTGCAGGACTGCGGCATCTCATGCCCACGTAAGCTCTGACCTTCAGACTCTGCAGCAGCCCTCCTGCTCCAGCACGTATCTTACTGGGCCCAGCTCACAGCACTGCTGAGCCAGCCATGGCCCTAGAAAGCCAACTTTATTTCACCTAAACCAGCTGACTGCATAAAGTTTTACCTCCAGTTGGCCTGGGCAAGGAAGCATCACGAAGTGACTTCTCTTGACTACCATGTGTAAGCCAGGTGTGCTTTTCAGGACCTCAACTCAACTAACATGCTCCTGGCACTTAGGTTAATGAGACCCTTCTTTCTTTTGGATTTGGTACAAAAGGAAAGAAGCTACACCTAAAGTGGGTAGAATTTCTGCAAGACCTGCCAACACGAATGTAACAGTCTCCCCTCACCCTGCCTGCCCCCTCCTTCCCCAGTCAGTCAGGGACTGACGTCCCTGCCGGGCATTTGAGATCCTCAGAAGTTCAGGGACATCTGGTCTCATCTGACAGCACATCTCTCTTCTGGCTGCTGCTTCTGAACCACCCTGTAGATAAGATTTATGGGTTTGAATATCATCTGTGCTGGTTCAGCTAAAGAGTTTCTTACCCTGGCAGAATAGCAGATTATTAGACCTTAACTTGAAATGTGTCACTAAATTTACAGTTTTTTTATATTAGCAATTTCTGTAGCCATAAACATCTTTTGCTCTTTCTGAACTCCTTCCATTTGAGTTTCTCCGGACACTTCAAAAACGTTACACTGAAGAAAAAACTACCAGATTCAGCAGCAATGAAACAATACTCAATGTTTCCTCCCCTGAATTCTCATGAGCTACTTCAGCTTTGCTGGCTATAGGAAAAGGACTGAGGAGTTTCTTAGGACTTGACAGAACGTGCTCAACAGCTGGCAATTTCTCTGGGATAAGGACAGAAGGAGGAGAGAAAACTACCTTACCATCACATCTTCTGGAAGAGCCAGGCAATTCCAAGCACCTTAAATTTTAACAGGAGTAAAAGTGATACCTTTTAAAATCTCAACACTTCTACAAGTGGTAAAGAGAAGGGCTGATACATGGACTTACAGCAGGCCAAATGCTGCTGACCTTATGAGGAAGACACCACTGAAATCAGATGAGAATCTGCCTTTCATTAGTTACAAATTAATATCCTTATCTGCTTTTGGAAGCCATGCAGCAAAGATTTCTAACTCCAGACAGAACAGTCTCTGAAAGAAGGTCAAAAGCAAAGGGGAGGAAAGGATGAAAAAAGCAAGATTTTAATGAGAATATGATACAGCTTTGAAGCTGGTCTCTCACACATCTTGTCAAAGCTTAAGATTAATACTGCAACGAACCAAAACTAAAAAACAACCCAAATTCCTATCTCGACCTTTCAGTAGAACTCCCCAGTTGTTTATAGCCCTGACATTCTGCAAATCAATAGCCTCACAGGTGCAGTCATCCCTTCTTCAGTCTCCTGCAGAGCACTTTGGGAACCAGTCCAGGCCTAGACAGCAACACCCGAGTGAGACCAAAGTATCTTGCAATCCACACAAAGTCCCTAATACCCCACTTTCCTTCTCCTAAACTGACGTGGTTTCACTGTGTTTGAAATGGAGGAGCCCTTTGGCAGACCAGAGTACCAACTGCAACGATCCCAGGTCCTAGTTTGGCTTAGTCATGGACAACGTTGTGGTTCTGGGCCAGCACCTCAGTGCCTCCTTGCAGAGCCAGTGAGAACCATTCCTGACCCATGTCTTCTGCAGGCTTCTGACGCTGTCAGAGATGCTCATAATTTCTAGTGGTTGGGCCAACAGATGCCCAGCACTTTGCTCTCCTGGTCTAGCAAGCGGAGGTAAGGTTTACCCAGGGCAAGCAAGGAGGCTTCAGTGCCAACGGAACACCACCACTACACGCTGTCCCATAACCCAGCTCCTATGCTGGGGACACACATCATGGGACTGGCAGCTTCCTTCCTCCCAAGGATGCTGGAAGCACCGCCACTCTCCTTAGCTACCTTCTGCTTTGCTCCTGCCACAGCCACCCCTTGGACTTTGCCCCCCCACACAAAGGGGCATGCAAGAGTTCTGTGCCAACCTACCAGGATGTGTGGGCGGGCTGCTGGGTAACTCTGTTTTGCTGGCAAGCAAGGGCAAGAGTGCCAAGAGCTGCCCCAGTTATTCACAGGTGACCTCCTAGGAGGGGCGGGCACACAGGGAGCATGGCCCTGCAGCCCCCCAACACCTCGAGTACTCACCCAGAGCAGTGATGGACACCAGGGTGCCCGCGTGCCGCTCCCCAACCATCTGCCACTCCCCATCCAATGTCCGCGTCCACTCGACCACCCGGCACTCGTAGTGGCCCTCGTCCGCCTTGGCGCTGTTGAAGATCTCCAGGGTGAAGGAGCCAGGCCGGACCTGCTCCACCTGGATGCCCCCATAGCTGCTCCGCTCAGCGTACGAGGGACCCGGCTGCAGGGTGCCCTCCCGATCCAGACGCACAATTTCACTGCGCCGGTTCAGCTTGTCCACCAGCTGCCAGGTGACGGAGAAGCGGCTTTGGGGCCCGAAGCCTGAGCGCACATTGCAGCCAAAGCGCAGGCTCTCCCCCTCCAAGACATTGCTGGCGTTGTTGATCATCTCCAAGGAGATGCTGGTCTCTAAGGAGAGAAATGCATACACACAGGGCAGATGACATGCACTCACCACTCCTGGGTCTGCAAGAAGGACGCTGCTGGCCAGAGAGGCTTTCTACCAGGTGCAGGAAACTGCCCACGCATTTGGGGCCAGGCACGTCTTAACCTCATGCATGACCACATCCAAAACCAGCCTGTGGGCAGTGAGCTGCTCCTGATGACTTGTACACTCAAAGCAGGTGTGGGCCAAAGCTGGGAGAAATCTCTCTGCCTATGGCTCGTGAAACGCTGTTGCGTCTTCTGGTCGCAGGTCGGGGATGAGATCTCAGCAAAACTTGAGGGAATTTGTGTTGCTACAACATGCACCGCCTGCAACCAGCTTTGCCAAAAAATGAAAAACCTTCTGGCTCCCTGGGCTTTTCAGTTCACGTCATTTTGATGACCATCTTCCCATGTCCAATCCTACAACTTCTCTTGGGAGTAGCTCTCCCAAAATCCCATAGCTAGTGACATTACAAGTAGGTACCTAAAAACACTTGGTAACACCAAAAAAACCTGGTATCTTGAGCTTCCCAGAAATGTAAGGCTTTACAGCTGTTTTTTTTTCTCCAGAGATACTGAGTGCTGGTTACTCCTGCTGTCTTCCATCAGAGTTATGGACACTTAGCACCCTTGAAAAATCATCACATTTGCTCCTAGAGCTGGCAATTTATCAAATGACAAGAATGAAATCCGTCTGAAAGGTGGCTATGCCTAAAAGTACTGCATTTTAGGCATTTGTCCAGTGCAATGTTTGTAGCTAGAATAATTTTCAAACCCAAACAAATGAGACCAAATATTGGTAGGAGAGAAAAGAAATAGATTTTCTTTTGGAGAAGTGAGAAGGGGAAAAAAAAGCTAGAGGAAAGGGCTGCATTTCCCTACCAACCTAAGAGACGGGAGAAAAACATCACACAAAATCCTCTCACAGCAATCCTCTGCTTGGTCAAAGCCCACTGCCAGGGCAGCCTGGGCAACATGCGTATGGTCCATTGTGCCACAGCTACCTGAGTTTCAGAGAGCAAAAAAGGAACGAGTCACTGGACCCTCTCCTCCCATCCTGCTATTTATGTATTTATCATGTTTGTCTGACAAACATAACAGGCAGGTAGGCAAGGGTTTCATCAGGGTTGGCAGACACGCTGTGACCACAACAGAGCTCCATGTGGAAGACGAATCCAGCACTTGAGCACATGAACCCTGGTTTCTCCCAGTACAGCTGTCTTGCAAGACATCTAAACAACAGCCACTGAAGAGCCTGCAGGAACCTAGCAGCTCTTAGGACAAACCAAGGCCAAGCCGGTCTCCCCATTATGCCTGCTGAGTACATGAGAGCACACAGCTCCGCACAGAGCAAGGTGAGGAGAGAGGTACGAGGAACAAGTCAGAGGCTGTCACATGCACCTTCAGCTCAAGGACAAAACTGCCAGCTTGGTGTCATTACCAAGGCGCGGACAAGTTTCCTCATCTATGAACATAACACTCCTCCTCTATTATTCCCTTCCCACCAAAATACCCCAAAAATCTTGTGAGTTGGGATTTCAAGCCTCCATAGCATGCAAACTCTTATCTTCCCTCTTCCCCATCACCAAAGTCTGGGCCCACCATGGCTTCAGCAGCTAGCTGCCCAGTAGAGCAATGTCCCCAGGAGGAGATGGGCAGGTCTTTACTTACTGAGTGGCAGGACAGTGATGGGGATGTTCTTTGGCCGCTTGCTCTCTTTGTCAATGAAGTCCCCCGTGACAGTCTTCTCCCGCTCAGTCACCCGGCAGTTGTACTTGCCACTGTCCTCAAGGCGGAGGCGGTAGATCTTCAGCACAAAAACATTGTCGCTCTCTTTGGCTACCTTGAGCTGGCCCAGGGCCTCACGCTGGGTAAACTCGTTGTTGAGCACTGGCACGGCGTTGGGTCCCAGGCTGGCAATAAGGGAGCTGTTGAAGGCCCAGGAGATGGAAAAGTAGCGGTCGGGGACGTTCTGCGCCTCCAGGATGCACCGAAACTCCACTGGCTCACCCACAATGTACGTCCGCTTCTCCGTCTCCAGCCGGACACTGAACTCCTTATCTGAGGAGAGACAGACCTGACTCGTATCAGCATGGCAAGGCCCATCAGGAGAGTCAGCACACCTTGTTTGAGGTATTTAAAACCTGCTACTCCCTGCATAGCCAACACCCCTCAGACACCTACATCTGCAGGTGGAGGGGTTAGGGGTTTGCTTTTTTGCTGTGAGAGCCCAGACTGGTCATGCTGCAGGGGAGACAGCTGCCCAGCATGCAAGAGCTGCAAGGCTTTCCCAGTTAAAACCCTTTCCTCCAGCTTTTACTCCTGGGAGCAGCTCTGCTGTGACACTAGCCTCTAGTGATACTGCAGGATGTGACCAGGAGTCTAGTCCTACTTACACCCTGCTCGGCTGGGATCAAGAGGCAAGGCCTTTGGGGATATCAGAGAGGAAGAAAGAGTTCAGCTGGGTCTTTAGATCCTTAGCAGGAACCTGTGCTTCAGTCTGGGGAAGGATTTTGACTTGCAAAGGGGCTTTGTGCAATACAGAAGTGCTTGCTGCAAGTTTTAGTTTTATTGTCTACTCTGTCACTCTTACATCCTCACTTAACAAAGTTCTCACTGCCTGTGCTAGCAACAAGTGCTTATGATGTAGGTTTTAGCTGCTGTGTCAGCCCCAGATTGCTGACCACTCAAGCTCCCTTGCTGCGCCGGTGTCCCCTGGTTGTTCTTTGCTGACATCTACCCTTCCTTCAGGCAGTGCTTGAGCCCTCCTCTGCTCTGCTTCAGAACCCTGTCAGGAGCCTCCTACGAGGTGCACACACCAAAGCAATGAGCCTAGCCACTTAACAAGAGCCCCATTTTCCACCTCCTCCCACTGTACAGCTGACCAAGAAAAGGCAGAGAAGACACTGACCGGTGGCTTGTACGTTGACAATGGCACTCTGGGAACGCTTGCGGGTCATGGCATACCAAGACTTGTCCGGGTCCTGGATCCACTCTGCCGCCTCACAGTAAAACTCTCCCTGATCCGCTGGGTGGAGGTTGTAGATGGTGAGCTTTGAGGTGGTCTCCCCAACTTTGTCCAAGCGAACGTCCCCCGTGGCTTGCCGTTGGGCGTAGGCGCTGCCAGCCCGCAGGACGAAGTCGCGGCTGAGGGAGATGACCTCCACGGGCGCCTCGCCGCCCCGCTGCCGGTACCAGGCGATGGAGACGTGGCTGTGCTGGTCTGTGCTCTTGGACACCTCGCACTTCAGCTCCAGAGAGTCATGCTCTACTTTGTTCAGCGTCTGTGGGACCGCTGTCACTCTCAGCGAGTCGGGGATCACTGCAGCAAAGGGGAACAGAGGGACACAAGCCTGAGAGCCAGCAACGCTGAAATGCCCAGTCTAAAGCCCAGACGCCTTAAAGGAGAGCTGGGGGAAGAGGTTTCTTTTTACGGTTGTAATTGTTCAGTACTAGCAGAGCCTTGTTAGCTCACTTCTAGCCCCCAGAAAGAGACTGCTCCCCAAAGCCCCTGGCTGGGAAACGCTGTGACCTGCGGCACATATTCCAGTGCTGTGCTCCAGGTCCTGCTCAACAGCCCCAGCACCTGTCACGCTGTAGAGCGGCACAGCTTAATGCATCCACTTCCCATCAAGGCATTTCGTTTTGGGTGGCCTTCCCTTCATCATGTGCCCCGCAGCATGCTTCGTGACCTCCCTCCTGCCTGCACCCTTCAGCTACTCTTTAGTCTTGCACCCTGGTCTTCATCCCCCAGCCCCTGTTGGGGCCAAGCCAAACATATTCAGTACCTTCAATTTTCCCTCATAAAAAAAGTCAGAGATCTAGTTCCTCTCTCCTTTGTTTATATCCTTTCACGTTTTAAGGACCCCCTCAGGCCAAACGAAGATGTTTCTGCATTTGAAGGGGTTTTTGCATTGTAGGCAAGTGGCTCCTCTGAGGGCAGCAATGCAGCTGCAGTGTGCCCAGCACCTGCTCCTGGGACACAGCTGTGTCAAGGCACTTGGTAATAAAACTGCTGGCTGCTTTTCCAGTTGATTAACCAGAAGAAAGTACAGCCACCAAAATCAGGATGAAAAAAATTTTGCAGCCCCCCCCCCCAATCTAGCTTTATTTTAGCAAGCATCTTAATTTTAGCAAGAGGCTCTACCACCAGAATATAGACTTTGTAATGCCAAGCTCTGGGGCCCCCAGGTAAAAGAAAGACAGCAGGTCCAGAGGAGAACCCTGAAAAAGGACAGAGGATTGGACGCTTCTCCTGTGAAGGAAGGCTGAGAGTTGGGGTTGTTAAGCCCAAAGGAGAGAAGTCTCTGGGGAGATCTTATTGTGGCCTTCCAATATATAAAGAGGGCTTATAAGAGAGTGTTTTTTTACCAGAGCCCATAGTGACATGTCAGGGGGCAATAGTTTTGAATTAAAGAGCGGAGGTTAAGATTGGATGCAAGGAAGAAATTTCCTACAATGAGAACAGTGAGACACTGTGACAGGTTGTCAAGAGAAGCTATATTGCTTTGAGCAACCTGATCTAATGAGGGATGTCCCTGCTGATGGCAGGGGGATTGGACTAGATGATCTTCAAAGGTCCCTTCCCACCTAAATCATTCTATGATGCTGTTACAAACATCACGTGGAAAGAAGAATGAAAACCTTTTCCTCAGCTCTGCAGACAAGGCAGCATCAGTGAGCCTGTTAATGCCCATGGTTTCACCACATACTGGTGGAACAGAATCATAGAATGGTTTGAGTTGGAAGGGACCTTAAAGATGATCTAGTTCCAGCCCCTCTGCCAGGAGCAGGGACACCTCCCATTAGACCAATTTGCACAACGCCCCATCCAGCATCGTCTTGAACACCTCCAGTGAAGGAGCATCCACAACTCCACTGGGCAACTTGTTCCAATGTCTCACCACCCTCATAGTGAAAAACTTCTTCCTAATTTACAATCTGAATCTCCCCTCTTACAGTTTGAAGCCATTATCTCTTGTCCTATCACTACAGGCCCTTGTAAAAATTCCCTCCCCAGCCTTCTTGTAGGCCCCCTTGATATACTGGGAGGCCACAATAAGTTCTCCATGGAACCTTCTCTTCTCCAGGCTCAACAAACAAAACTTTCTCAGCCTGTCCTTGTAGGGGAGGTGCTCCAGCCCTCTGATCATTTTCATGGTCTTCCTTTGGACTTGCTCCAACAGGCCCACATCTTTCCTGTGTTGGGGGCTCCAGAGCTGGACAGAGTACTCCAGGTGGGGTCTCACAAGAGCAGAGTAGAGGGGTAGAATCACCTCCCTCGACCTGCTGGTCATGCTTGTTTTGATGCAGCCCAGGATATGGTTGGCTTGCTGGGCTGCCCTCGCACATTGTTGGCTCATATTGAGCTTTTCATCAACCAGCACCCTTAATCTTTCTCCTTAGGACCTCTCTCAATCCACACTCCACCCAGTCTGTAATTGTGCTGGGGATTGCCCTGACCCAAGTGCCCAAGACCTTGCACTTGGCCTTGTTAAACCTCATGAGGCTGGCATGGGTCTGCCTTTCAAGCCCGTCAAGGAATACAATTAATGTATCTCAGCTCAGTTTCACATACAGTACTGGGAGGTTTGATAAAATGAGCTGACGAAAGCCGCATCTGTTTCATTCAGACATGGCTACAGAAAGTAATAAGCTGCAGTAAAGAAAACTACAGGCATTATTTCTGGCAGAAAAGTCAAAGTAGAAGAGAGAGAAGAAAAGAAAAGCCATGAGATGGAGTAAACGAGAGGGAAATCTTCCTGTATCCAGCCCATATGAGCGCATTTGCTTTTACCATGTGTTCAGTACCCAGGGATTTTACTGCTCCTAAAAGGGAAAGTACCTGATAAGGCCACTTACACCACCATTGCCTCCGTGCCCACAGCCATGTCTCCTCCTCCCCCCGGTCTTCCTCACAGGCACTCCCATCCCCTGCCCAGCAGCAATAGCATCTGGTAGACCACGGCCAGCAGCCTGCCTCACTTCACCTTCCCCCCTTCCCTCTGACTCCCAAATCATTGGTGATGGCAACTAACCTTGCTGACTCACACTGCCTGCACAAGATTTAAATTTCTCATTTCAAACCTTTCTGAATAATTTCCAGAGCCACACAACTACTTTCTCTTTGGTTGCCAGCCACAGGCTCTTACAACTTCTCTTTCGTTATTTAAATAAATGAAACCTGATCATCATCTGGCTGGCGTTACTTTCCAGCTGAGCTGCCTCAAAAGCAGAGCTCCCTGCTACACCAGACTATGGGGTGAAAGAGGCTATCCGTAAAGAGACTGTGCCCATCCTCCTTCCCCCAGTTTGAGAGCCCTGGGTACCCCAACGGGTGCCCCCTGAGCCCTGCTCACCAGCATGCCTGCTTGCTGGCTATGGGCAAGACAGTGCCCTGCTTACCCTGAGAGCCTGTCTGGCTCTGCAGGGCAGGCACTTGGCTTGCCAGACGTGGAGCTGCCCACTCCCTGGGTGCAATGCCAGGAAGCCTTTCCAAAGGCCGGTCCTCAAGCAAGTGCTTGCTATGCTATTCCCCAAGCAGGTCAGAGGCTGGTACGGCACCATTTCTTCAGCTGGAGCCAAGACTTTGTATTTCCAGGTCACAACCTGTCTGGAGGGTTTGCAACTTCCACCCCATGTGGGCAGGCTATTGCAAAACATATTCCTGGAGAAAAATCAGAAGGTGGTGGCTTGCTGTTAAAGGCTGTAATTGAACTGTGGTAACACCTGACATGCTGTGCTACATTCCTCCTCCTCCTCTGGTTAAAAAACCCATGCAAGATCCTCCTGGTTAAGAGGATTTGATAAGACTTTTTGGGCTGCATGTAGCCTTGAGGTCATTGTAGTAAATCAGCCTGGCATGTACATACATTCTGTTGGTGTCACCTTCCTAACCAGCAGGCCTAGAGGGCTGATTGCTAAATGGAGCCCAGTTTCTGAGGGATCAGACACTGGGAAGGACAGGCAAGAGCCCTGAGCTGGCGGGGCCAGTAGGGAGGCTCTGTGCTTCACACCACGGCTCTCATGCTTGGCCAGCCGTGCACAACTTTTTTAGTTACGCTGCAAGATGTGCCTCGAGTACCAGCATTTGGGGAGGGGGAAGGTGTGTAGGAGAAAGGTGTTCTCAAGAGGCAGCCAAATGTGACAGCAAGTCACAGTTCATTTCAGAAGCCCAACGAGCATTTCGTTCTGAGTGCTGCGGAGCACCGGGGACTCCCACAGTGGGGCTGCAGATTTACTGTGGCTCGTGCACCACTCCAAGGCACAGACCCACTGCACCGCGCCAACAAGAGGGCCACAGGCACAGCTTAGCCCATCAGGCTGGAGCAGATCAGGCCTGGAAGTCATGGAGAGAAAAGCAACCAGGGATTGCCGCAAAGGCGCTCTCCAGAGCATGACAGCACACACTGGGAGGTGTGTTATCAGAAAAGAAGTTCTTTCTAAGCCAGTTATCCTGCTTAGGCTTCAAGGACATCAGTTTGCAAATCAGGACACACGTAAACTCTGCATGGTACTCACCTGGGAGCCCTGTCTCTGCCACCAGCCACCACACTGCCGAGCTGCCCGCACTCATGCCGCAGCTGCCAGCTGCAGGAGGCACCAGGGGCTTGGGGAGCACTCTGCACACTGAGCTCCACTTGAAGGCAAGAGTAAGCTTAGATGAAAGTTATCACTGTGTGAAAGGGAATGGGGCCACACCCGAATCAGAGCCAAGAGGGATGCTGCAGGACATGTCTGCTTACCCACTCTCTCTCACCCAGCTCCTGCCTGTTGTTTCTCCCCACTTTTCAGCGAGCCGTCCAGGCAGCCTGCCTTGCACTTCCCCCACCATCCAGCCTTGCTTCTGCCCTGTCCCAAACACAAGCCCACTACTGCAGCTGTCATGACCTCACGGAGGTGTCAGCAGAGCTCCCCTCTCTCCAGCATCAAGGTTAGGTTTGGCAGCAAGTGGCTGGACAGGGAGATGAGTGGCTGAAAAGTGCTTCCTGGGAACAAACCTATTGTGCTACCCCATCCATGAGCCAGTCTGCTGAGCCTGATCACGGCCAACAGCACTGAGCTTGGACTTGCAGCAAGGAAGAAAGGGCAAGACAATACAGGGCAATACAGAATTTCCTGTTAGTCCCCAAGCCACAAGTTACTACAGAGCTCACTGAGACAGGTACTTGCTGGTGAGTGGGCTGTTGAGCACAGGGTGCTCATAACCCCTGCCAAATTTTGAAAGCTCCTAAAATATTAGGTGTAAATATTGCCACTAGAGGGTGTCAGGGACCCAACCAGGCAGAGTCCCGGGGCCCTGCTGCCAGGAGGAGTAGGTGG